GCGGGACTTCATATCGGCCTCAACCTCCGAAGTAATACCCTTAACTAAGTAGTTTCTCTATAAAACCTTTACGGAAGCAACTTTTTTGTTCCTTAATATCTTAACGTGCCGGTCTAGGATCTCAACCAGAATTTATTCATTAGAGATATTTTCATCAACTACCAACCCTTCAAGGGAACTATAGATATTGGATATCCGGCTAACTTCTTAACCATGAAGACATGGAAAACGGGATTCACCACTACTGACTCATTTGGTAAATCAAGTTCATATGCAACCTTACTAAAACATCTTAAAATGTGATACGAGACCACGTATCAGGGACTAAGCTTCCCATTTTGCCAAATCTCATCACACCCTTTATGGGTGATATTTTCAAATAGACCAAATCACTACCCTTAAACTCTAGGTCTCTTTTTCTAACATCGGCGTAGTTCTTTTGTCAGCTTTGGGCGATTCTCAACCTCTTTCTAATGAGACAAACTTTCTCCATTGCCTCATGAACTAATTCGGGCCCAATCAAAGCAACTTCACCCACTTTAAACGGTAGTTATGGGAGTTGTACACCTTTTACCATAAAAGGTTTCAAAGGGGTCATACCAATACTAGAATGGTGGCTATTATTATAAGCGAACTCTATCAATGGCAAGTGATCATCCCAACTTAATTATAAGCGAACTCTATCAATGTCAAGTGATCTCCATTGCCTCATAAACTAATATCAAAGCAACTTCACCCACTTTAAACGGTAGCTATATGAGATATACACCTTTTACCATAGAAGGCTTCAAAGGGGTCATACCAATACTAGAATGATGGCTATTATTATAAGTGAACTCTATCAGTGGCAAGTGATCATACCAACTTACCATGAAGTCGATGAAACATGCTCTCAACATATCCAGTAAAGTTTAGATCGTTCGCTCTGCTTACCGATTAGTTTGTGGGTGAAAAGTTGTGCTAAGCTTAATATTAGTGACAAGTCCCTTTTGAAATGACTTCCAAAACTAGGAAGTAAATTGGGTACACGATCAGAAATTATGGACAAAGGCACTCCATGTATCCTTACTATTTCTGTCAAATACAACTTGACATAATCTTCCGCCGAATAAGAAACCTTGATGGGAAGGAAATGTGTTGATTTCATCATCTGATCAATAACTACCCGAATAGAATCAATAATGGTGCTGGGTGTGAGGCAAACCAACTATAAAGTCCATATTTACATATTCCAACTTCTGAGTGACAATGCTAATATCTTTAACTAAACCTCTCGGTTTTCGATGCTCAATCTTTACTTGTTGGCAATTCAGACATTTAGCCACAAATACCGCAATATCCTTCTTAATCCCATTCTACCATATCCTTCCTATAAATCATGGTACATCTTGGTGGCTCCTGGGTGGATGGGATACCACAAACTGTTAGCTTTTACCAAAATTTGTTCCCTTAGCTCATCAATATTTGGAACACATAGTCAACTTTGGTTTGTAAGTACCCCTCATCTCCATCTTGGGATAAAGCCTCAATGAACTCCTTGAGTACCACTTCTTTCAATTCTACCAAAGTCGGATCAAGATATTACTTAGCTTTAACATCATTTACAAAGGATGATTCGGAACCATTATGGACCATGACACCACCCTTGTCGGAATCAACCAAATGAATACCCAATCGAGAAAATTGTGCATGTCTTGTGTCAACTATTTTATATCATCATCAACATGCACAACACTACCCATTGATAGTCGATTAAGAGCATCTGCTGCCACGTTTTCCCATATGGGGTGATAAGAACACTCATATCATAGTCTCTCAATAATTCCAACCACCTTCTTTGGTGAAGATTTAGATATTTTTGGGTAAAACCTATTGTAAACTCTCATGGTTTGTGAAAACATCAACATGAACCCAATACAAATAATGCCTCCAAACCTTTAAGGTAAATACCACCATCGCTGATTCAAGGTTCTGGGTAGGATTGTTCTTCTTATAAACCTTTAGTTGTCTTGAAGCATAGGCTATCACTTTACTATTTTGCATAATCACACATTCCAACCCAACATTAGAGGCATCACAATATACCAGAAAGTCATTTATACCTTTCAGTAAAGTAAATACCGAAGCGGAAGTGAGTCTATCTTTCAACTCTTGGAAACTTTTCTCACAAGCATCCAACCATATAGACTTGGCCTTCTTTTGAGTAAAAGCCCTCAATGGAGAGGCCCGATCTACAAATATTATATAATAACCAACCAAACTCAAGAAACTTCTTATATCGATCGATGATATATGTCTAGGTCAACTCTTGACCGAATCTATGTTGATCGAATCTACCTCAATACCCTTGCTTGAAATAATATGGCCTAAGAAAGCCACAGAACTTAACCAAGATTCACATTTACTGAACTTTGCACAAAGTTGTTGGTCGTTAAGGATTCACAATATGATCCTCAAATGATCAATTTGATCATTCTCACTCCTTGAGTAAATTAAATTATCATTTATGATCACAATAACAAACATATCAACGTATTGTCTAAACACCCTATTCATCAAATCCATAAAGTTTGTCGGAGAAATGGTCAATCCAAATGACATTACCACAAACTCATAATGGCCACATCGGGTTCTAAAAGCAATTTTTGGAATGTTTTCCTCTTTCACTCTCAATTGGTGATAGCCCGAACAGAGATCAATTTTAGAGAAATAAATTGCCCCTTGAAGCTGATCAAATAAATTATCTATCCTTGGAAGAGGATACCTATTCTAAATGTTCACCTTTTCAATTGTAGATTATTAATACATATATGAAGGGACCCATCTTTCTTCTTAACAAACAAAACTGGAGCACCCCATGGAGAGATACTTGGTCGAATGAAACCCTTATCTAACAAATCCTTTAATTGCTCTTTCAACTCCTTAAGTTCCACCAGAGCCATTTGATATGGAGGAATAAATATGGGTTCTATATCCATAATAATGTCAATACCGAAGTCTATCTTCCTTTCAGGAGGAACAACGAGTAGATCATCGGGAAACACTTTCAAAAACTCATTGACAACGGGGACAGACTCAAGAAGGGGTTTTGGAATCTACATCTGTCACCCTTACTAGATGGTAAATCAACCCTTAAAAATCATTTCCTAGCTTTAAGGTAAGAAACAAATTGACCTCTAGACATAGAATTATCCCCTCCCACTCCAGGATAGGCTCATTTGGGAATTGAAATTTGACTACTCGAGTCCTACAATCAATAGAAACATAACACGAACGCAACCAATCCATCCTAAGTATGACATCAAAGTCTAATATATAAATCTCTACAAAATCAACAACAATAACTCTATGGGATAAAGAGATAGGTTTCTATAGACCCTCTTAGCGACCATAGAAATACCAACATGGGGAGAGCAAGAAAAAGGTTCTAATAACACACCGAGGAGCACATCAAACCTCATGAGTCACAAAGTATAAAGTAGCCCCTAGATGAAGTAAACCATACACATCTATAAGAAAAATTTTTAACATACTGGTCACCACATCTGAGGAGTTTCCTTGATCACCTCTAGTTAGGAGAGTGTAAAATGGTTTCGCTTAGGAGCAGTGTAACATGAAACATTTGGACCGGATAAAGGATAAGGTTGAGCCCTATGACGAGTATCTCCATCATTCTTTGCAATCGAATGAGAATTTCTTATCTTGTGATCCGTCAAACCACACCTAAATCAAGTATTGGAGCTCATTAGACACTTACCCTCATGATTTCTTCCACATTTGGTACAAGTAGGCATTGAGGACTTACCACCATCTCCTTGAGCCTAGGGTTAGAAACCCTTTAATTTTTAAACCTTGGAGGAGCATTTGAAGAACCATGTATGGAGAAATTTTGTCAAAACTTTGGATGATCCCATCCACCGGACCTAAAATCTGAATCGTTACCATCATCCACTCTTGCTCTCTTTGCCTCCTAGATCTTTCCTTGAGATTTTCTTTCTCAATTTTTTGGTCATACACCATAAGGCGATAAATGTACATGTCATAGACAAGCATAGTAGTGCAACTTTCTTTGACAACCAAGTCGGACCTCAACACAAACTTACTCATCTTGGTCCTATGATGTTCCACAATAGAAGGAACATACTTAGATAGTTGAGTGATCCTCAAAGCGTATTCCTTTAAACTCATATTTCTTTGCCTAAGGTTAATAAACTCAAGCACCTTGGTCTCTCTTATATCTAGAGGGAAAAATCGATCAAGAAAAAAACTTTTGAACCTTTCAATTGATCAAACCCAATCTGAGAAACCCCTTTGAGTTAGAAAGAGTCTTGCTCCGCCTTATCTACCAGAGTCATTTCCATAATAGCAAGTATATTGTAGACCTTGTCGGTAGACTCTTGAGGAACTTCCTCAACTTTGAAGCCATAAAATTTGGGAGGGTTCATCCTTCTAAAATCTCTCACTCTTGCCACTGTCATACCCACATTTATGTTCATGGAGATACAACCTCTCTATAGTATTGAGCCATTACGACTTGAGTCAACACTTGGAAAGTCGACCTTATTTCCACATTTGTACAAATTCATTCAATGGGTCAATCGGAGCTTGAGGAGGAGCCTGGGAGAAACTTGAGGAGGAACCATTTGATCAACATTGCTTCCCTCCATCCTTCTAACATTACCCCTTTTAGTAGTAATATCCCTAAAACCACTGGGTAAGTATTATGAGAAAAAAATTATTGAGTTAAACTCCATGACACGACATAGAGAAGTAAAGAAGTAAATTTTCCTAAACATTTAGTACCCTTTCGTTCATAAATGTGGCACACTTCACATCCATGAATAAAACTCTACTAGACGCGGTTTGAAACATCCAAACACTGTGATTTGATACCAAGTTTTTCACATTCCAGGGGTACTCCTAGATGTCATAAGGTGTATAAGGCCCCGAGAGTCCTCAAACAAGCCACTTAGCATATCATAACATAAAGTAATAGAAAATGGTGCAAGTATTAAAAATATTTCAACATAATCAAAGTCCTTTACAATAAATCACAACTCTAATAGCATAGTCATGGATAAAGTCTTGGGACGTAGCCCATACAATAGTCCAAGACATAAAAGAAAGGCATAAAATAAAAGGGTGATCACATCCTCAAACACAATGAAGACTAACCAAATCTTCACTTTATTGCTCAACAAGGAAGCTAGACACGAGTGTGAGAATCTTGTTGTCGAACCCTACATTTGATAAGAATATAATAAGAGTATGCGTTGGTGCAATCATGTACTAAATATGACGGCTAGCATAAACAACATAAACATAATCATTATTCCTTAAATGACATAAGGCGTAAGCATAATGAAGACATAATAAGCATAATAATGAGAGATAAATACTTACTTAAGTAACCTCACTTAACCTTATTCAAGACTTTGGTCATCCACACCTAGTCAAGCTTAAAACATAAAAGCATATCTAGCAACACTCAAAGTCAGGTGTGACACTTCAAAAGTCCAAGACCTAAATCTAGAGCCTCACATGAGTGTATAAAGTTTTTAGCACTGTTTTAAGGTCAAAAATAATGTTTATAAGTCATTTAGGAAGTTTTAGAGTCAAGACGTCAAGAAACATTCATGACATTCGGAGATTAGTGGAAGAGGTGCTAATGTGCCTTAGCCTATTTCATAAGGTTTTAGGAGTCAAAATTTAATGAAATTTGATGGAAAAGATGTTAATCACGTATTAAAATTTGTTTAGGGTCAAAACATCTTGCTATAAATCCCTAACGACAACCCAAAGGGTCCTTGCGGAGGACCCTTCTAGATTGGTCAAGAAATTGCCTTGAAACAGTGTCTACCTACGGGTCGCACGCGACGAGGCATCGATTCCTCTGTGGAATAGCACTTAGACAATTTCAGGAATTATCCAAAAATACAACTCTCTGAGTAAAAATGACAGTTGTGCAGGATGGTTGAGGGGTGAGGCCGTCGACTAACCTACGACCCGTTGGTCGGGGTCTCGTAGGTCAGGCCTGCACTTTTTGTTAAGTTTTTTAAATGTTCATTTAATTAATTTAGCTAGTTAGGGGTTTAATTAGGGTGAAGGTTTGGTTAATTAGATTAATTTAGCAACTACATAACCTACCTTAAGCCTAAACTCAACTAAGCACCCCACAATTCCCAAACCCAAATTGCTCTTCCTATTCTCTCGTTTCTCTCTCAAAGAAGACTCCATAGAAGACCAAGGTCTTAAAGTTCTAGTGAAGCAATAAGATCACTTTTCACCATCAATATTCAAATAATATCAAGGTATGGGAAATTTCACCTTTGGGATTTCTTTCTCCAAAGGGTTCTTCAAAAATTGGTTTTCAAAAAAATGATTTCATATGGGTTTATTTCTAATCCGAATTTGATCTTCTAAATTGTATTATTTGTGGTTTCTTTTGGTTATTGTAATTAGATTATGATCTATTATTGTTCAATTATAGTAGTTCTTGATGATTTAATCTAGTATGTGGAATAGATCATGAATTGACCCAAATTCCTTAACCCTAGGTTATCTAGTCATGTTAAATTCAGTAGTATTGATGCAAGTGAACTAGTTATTGTGTTATTACTATTGAATGATGTTGTTACAGATATTGATGATGAAATTGTTTTGATTGAGAGTAAGACCAATAATGATGGCTTTTTAAGGAGAATTGGAAAGACCTTGTGATCTTAAACCTTTGCTTCAATTGTGATGGCTTATACTTGGTGATGAAGTTCAATTAAAGCATGTATTCTGATTCTACTAAGTGGGTGTTGATATGATGATGCGATTGAAATGTATTGATTATGTGAAAGTGTGAGATTACGTTTAAGATGTAATGATATAAGGTTGGTTATGAATTGCCTATGTGCCTTATTATACATGATGATGATGATAATGTGTTGATCTCACATATGAGGGTTGTATTGAAATGATATTCTCAAGCAATTCCTAAGCTAATGACTCTTAATATACAAGGGATTAGTCTCCTATCGCCTAAACTAAGTTATGAAGATTAATATAGGTTTAAAGACATTTCAAAAAGGGACATTAGCTAAGCATCGGGTGAACTAGGTGAGGAGTGTCCCTTCCCAATTAGGCAAGGTAGGTTCACTATTTTACTCATGAGATTGGAGACTATAATGAATTGTGCATAAAGAGTGTCCAAGTATATCTCCTAGTTCTTGAACTATGTTGTCCCCATAGGAATACTAGCTAGTGGATCCACCTAGAATGCTATTTTTATGTTTTGGTACTACCTTGACAAGTATTCCACCTTCTCTCGGTGTAGGTTTTATGACACCTGATTCTGTATTTAGCTCTTCTGGTCTATATCGGTTAAGGCAAGTGTTCCTGAAAGTAAAATGAAGTAATAATGTGAACAATAAATAGGGTGACTTAAGGGTTTTGACTTAGTCTAGGTAGGGGTATGAGACTCTACCTATGCATTGCACTAGTTGGCCTTGAGGGAAGTCTTGAAAGGTTGTTCTTATGTTTTATAAGTAAATGGTATGCATATGTTGACTTTACATGTTGAATGATCCTGTATGATACTAGTTTTATTTTTTAGCATGCTATTGGTCTATGTTCCAATGCATGATGATGATTACTCTTAATGCTATGTTATGTGAGTTTAGACATTGCTTATGGTCCTTTGTTGGTTTTACTTGGTTGATTAAGGTTATGGTCTTTACTTGGTCATTGCAGTTGTAAGCTTGATGATGAGTTATGAGTAAGGGTCTTGTATATGTTGTAATGATGTAAACTCTTATATGTGTTTTGTTGTTCTAGCATGATGTTAGAGTTGGTTTGACTATGTACTCAAGTATTCTAGTATACATATTGACTTAGTTATGTATGAATGATGTTGGTCTTGTGTTATACATGGTTCTTATGTTAAGTTGTATTGATTATGAACATGACTTATGCTATTGAGATTTCTTATGTGGTACATGCTCTCTTTTATGTGCACTAAAGGTTTCCAAATGACTTAGCATGGTTTCTAAAACGTAAATGTCCCTTTCTCATGCATTATTTCAAATGTATTATGTGTATGTTTCCGTACTTAATACAAGTGTTGTACTAACCATATTTCTATATTTCTATAATTATATAGGTTCCGGCCGTTGATATTCTAGAAGGGCCATTTGAAAAATAACTTCGACTCTCATTCTCCAAGTTTTGTAGGTCCTCACCTTCCGAGGATGATGCCACTATCTAGCTATTGATGTTGTTTAATCTTAAAGACAATTTAGTTCTTTTCCTTTTCATTTGAAGGTAATTGTTGTATATGCCTATATGTTGCTTTTATTGTAAAGAATTAAGGGTTATGCCCGAATGTTATGCTCTACTTAGATGGTTATATGTGAGACTTATCCTAGAGTTCTTATGAAATTATATTGCTATATTATGTATGTGAAATAAAAGTAGAAATTTATGTAGTGCTTTCTATTAGAGGAGTCTATATAAACTCCCTATTTATATATTATGTGTAAGCGGCAGATCTATGTAAACCTTAATGTAGAAATAGATGAAAAGTTTTAAATTTTCTGCAATTTAACCTATAAAATGTAATGACAAATGCTAAGAGGTTAGTCTTAGTCCTCTTCGAGGACGACGACATTGGTCACTTCTAGGGGGTGCTACTCGGATGTGACATCAAGCATCTTCATAACATAGCATAATCATATAGTTCATACTTACTTTTAAAGACATGGGGATTAGCCTTATTTTTTAACTTATAAAGGCTAATGGGTATTATCCTCTTGCCTTATTTACCTTAATATCATGGGTACTCACCTCCACAGTCACATATGACACAGATACTCGCCTCCACATCATTTCATAAGGAGCATAGGCACTCGCCTCCATATGACTTCATCATTTTGGGAACATACAATTTTCAATTCTAAGGAGTATTAGAATCACCACATATCCTTCAATATAGAGGTCAATGGTAGTTGTCTCTAGCCTTATCATTCTTTTAGAACTTTAATCTATATTCATTTTAGTGAGCAATCCTTTCAACCTGGAATCATTTATGTGATAAACCTTTCATATTGGTTCAATCATGCTTTGCAATTCATTAAGGGAAGTATCTCTTGCACATTACAACAATAATTACCAACAATCATAAAGTACACTTTACTCTCAAATCTCTAATTCTCATGATCATCATCTAAACTTCAAACTTAAACAATTCTAGTCATGATTCAACAATCTTACAAGGAGAAATCAAAATCCATAAAGTCTTCTTTCAAGGCATCAATCTAATTATATAAATTCTAGGTAAAATCATGGAACAGGCATGACTACATGTAATTTCATAATAAAAACATGTGATCGTGTCAATTCAATCATAAATAATCATAATCCACTCAATTGGATCAACATTCAACATAACCCACAACATTAGAAAAAATCCTAACTAGAATGGGGGAAATTCATCATCAAATTGTGCATTTCAAGGGATACCATGGGAAGAAGGATCCCATGGACGAAAAACAATCATACCTTAGCTTAGTCGTAATGCCCATAAAAGGTTGAAAATTGGAGACTTGTGCTTGACCTAGCCTCCTCTTCTTTCTCCTTTTTTTTACTTCTAGAGAAAATTTTTAGAGGAGTTTTGGGTGTTTAATTTTGGGATTTGAGGGAATGACTTAAAATGGGGAATTTTGGGGTTTAAAATACTTATATATTTGTGCTATGTTGACACAAAATTTTGATATGATATTTCTAAAGTTAATACTTTTAAGTATTTTATTTTTAAAAATAGTTCGAAATACATATTTTGCCATTTCAATGAAATTTGTTGATAATTATCCTTATTCTCAAATTATTAGAATTTTATCGATTAATTTTATTTACGTTATTTTGTCATAGACGGTTAAATACGTTCAAATATTTGTTCTTTTTTATAAAATCATTATTTCTATTAAATTACATTTTTTACATGTCTGTGGTTACGTTCGTTACATTTTTTTTATATTCATTTTTATCTGTAACATTTGTTAATATTCATTTTGATATTTTGCACGATTCATAAATTTATTCTACTATGGATAAGATTTCATACACAAATATTTTATTAACTAGTGATTTTGGCCCACATTTTCAAGATAGTGGTATGTATTATTGGTGGTTTTCAATTCTCTATTTAAAGAATAACTTGCTTATTGAGTTAAGGGGTGGTGAATAATATTTAGGTGTAATATTAAGATTTTCTTAATGTTTAAAAAATTCTTTTATTGTTCATTATTTTTCGGTGACAAACTCATCGAAGCTCCGGTAGATTCCAGTCCACCACCAAAACACCATTCATTTTCTCCTTTTTTTCAGCAGTCACCAGACTAAACTCTTCTCTTCTTCACTGCTGGTGCCAGCAACTCTTTCAAAACGACCAACAAAAACCTTCCTCATTCCTCCGTGGCTCGAGTTTCACCATTAATGGTTACGGCACCGCACAACAATCCAAATAACCACCACAAACCCCTCTTCCGTTTTACATTTGTTTCGACCAAACAACCACCATTAACGACCCCTTCTCCCCACAAAATTCAATAAAAAACAACCAGCCCAAAAACAATACAAACTAACCCAAAACCAGCCTGGAATCCCAATCAAAACCACCTTATGTCCGACGAACCAGCAATAAGAAAACACCATTTCCGGCGAAGGAGCACAAGGCTCGAACAACAGTAGCCAAACACGACTCCGTCGTGGTTCCAACACCGACAAACTCCTCATTTGCAGTGGTTCATCATACGAACCAGACCCACACCATTGTTATTTTCCGTGAAATCTTTTTCTTATTTAACACTTGAATTTGAAGCTATTTGGTTTCCTCTATTTTAGTTATTATTGTTTCGCTATTTCTTATGTCTTGTTGCTTTGTTCAATTGATTTATTCCTGTTTATTTTTATGCTTTATTGCTATATTACTTTAATGGCCTTTTTTTTTTGAATATTTTTCATGAATATACAGGTGTAGTTTTTCGTTTTATCTGGGTATTATTTTTCTATATTTTGATTGAGTTTATGGTCACTTAATTAAGTTAATTTTCTTGGTTAGCCTATTTTTTATTATTGATTTAATTATTAATATTATTTTTAACTGTCTGTTGCTCAATTATATTTTTATAATAATTTTTATGTCTTGTCTATTTGATTGTTTTGCTTTCTATGTCGTTTGTTATTGAATGTTGCAACTATTTTTGTGTTTTTTAAATGGATCTACTGATATTTTTATTTCATTAAATAATTTAAGACAATTTCTATTTTATATTGATATATGTTGGCTTTTTAGATTGTTATTTTTGTTTATTTATTATATTATTCAACGTAACGAAAACTGTTATATTAAAATTGGTCAATGAGAAATTTTCTTCGTTGATTTTGGATGAAACTCCATTTTAAAAGACGAAAATTTATTTTATGTTCATATTTTGCTTGTTAAAAGTGGTCGATGAAGAAATTATTATCGATTTCCAAGGTCTCCCAAATTAATTAGACATATTTTTATCTAACTATTTAGTTTATTTATTCATATTTATTCATTACTAACATTTTTACTAAATGTCTTTATAGGTGTGCGGAGTTGCTTCCTATTGAAGCTATTCGAACGAAGTTTGAAATATATTCATTATTCATAATCTTGTATATATCGATGTTAGACAAAATCTAGGTCGTTTCTCACATTATTGTTTTATTTTATTACTTGTGTATATTACATATTTATTATACTTATTTGTTTTTATCTCCTACTCAATTTGAAAAAATTAATTCAGTCAGGATCCACAATTGTGAATTTCGAAGGATGCCTAACGCATTCCCTTCAAATAAATTGAACCACTTACCTCGACTCTATTAGTTTAATAGACATTTTTTTAAAAGTTAATTTGCTAATTGATTTCCTAGTTTTCCTAAAAATTAGGTGGTGACTCACTTTTACCACTTTTTGCTTTTAAAAATTTTTAAACTCTTTTTTAAAAATTGTTTATTTTTTTGAGTTACCGTGACGTTGCGCCCTCTCAAAGGAATGTCAATAGAATGACGATTTCGCTGGGGATATAGATGTTCTAAGCATTATGGTTTAACTTTTAAAAATTGAGGAGACTATTCTTTTTCTGTGTTATTCTTTTTGTTTGGTATAATTTGTTGATTATTTGAATATTGTACTCATTTATTTATTCATTATTTGTTGAACATTGTCATTGCATTCATGACATAATTTTCGTCATTTGACATTTTTTTATTTCTTACGTAAATAAAGATTATGTGGGCGACAATCATTCGTTATCCAAATTATTTATCAGGGCACCCTGGCGAATGTAGTCAGCTACCTGATGGTCAACGATCGATATCTTTAGCATCCCATTTTCAAATGATGCCCACTCTTAACACCTAGCGATAGAACATTTATTAGTTGAGTTCAATATTCATTATTTAAGTCACAATTTGTTAGAACTACGTTTGACCTAATTCTTTCTTCAAGGGGATATGTAGGCGCCACTGTGGCTCAATCATGTTCTCCGTAAGCTTTTTATTATTTCAAAACGAAAATTGGAGCAAATTTTTTGAGGAGGTATCCAAAAATTCACGAAGGAGATAGTTAGTACAAGATCAATACCAAAGGTTGTTGAAGTTAAAACAATGGAAAAACTTTAAGAAATGCCCTAAAAACTTTCACTAAGGTTGTACTCAGAGTCCAAATGTATGGGGAATCACTCCAAGTTACTTATACCTTCACATGATTTTTTTTACTAATTTTATATTCATTGCATATCTTTGATTTTATTTATCTTACGTTTCATTACAAATAAATGATTTTATCTGACATTTTTAAGTTTGGGTTGTCCGCCCTTCAATGTGACTCCTTCATTTTTCATTTCAATCACTCCATTTAAAAAATTTAAAATAAAATTATTTGACATTTTTTAAGGTTGGTTTGTCTTCCCTTCAATGTGACTCGTTATATTTTTTTTGTTACTTTTTGTTTAATTAAGAGAAAATGGTCAAATGCCCCCCTAACATATTAGTCAATTCTCAACTACACACCAATACTTCACGGGGGTCCTATTATTTTTCCCCCCCCCCCCCCCCCCCCGATCTTTTTATTTTCAATATCTTTTAACCCTTAAATGCTGACATGTCAAAGAAGGTGAATACACCTCTTTTAGGCACGTGAAGATGTATCTAAAATGTATTTTCTGTGTTTTGAATCCACGTATAAGTCCAAATCAGCCTAAAATAAGTCTTCCAATTACAACTTGCATTTCTAAGCCCCTTTTCTCCCACAAATCTTTCATTTTCTTCCTTTATTCTACCATTTTAAAAGCTTGAAGCTTGGGAACAATTTCAACGCTTCAATGGTAACTTCAATTTCAAATCTTGAACCTTTAGGATTTCTAATCTTTTCTTATTTTTTCGCTATTAGATTCAAGATTCAAATTTATTTTCCTCACTAATAAATATAAAATTGCAAGGTCAACTAGATTTAGGTATGGAGCTTGAAATTTCTTCTCCATACCAATGACCAAAAATTAGTTATTTCCCTCTTCAATTCATAAATATAAAACCACAACATATGTAGACTCATTCTTTTCACCTTCCTCCTGCAAGTAGAATAATGAAATATTTTTCTCCCTCACCATTACAGTTGACCTTCAAGATTTAGAAAATATCGATTTTCAAGATCTAATTTTTCATTCAAAAATCGATTTATTTATTTTTAAAAAATTATATCACATGATACCTAGTATTGTTAAAATTATTAGGTGCAGAACAATTAATCTTGAAGAAGAAGAAGAAAGGTTGATACTCCAATCAAGAGTAAATATGTGGTTATGTTTGGAATTGAGAATTTAACCTAATTAAAAAAAATAAGTTAAAAGAAGTGGGGTCTATTGTATCTATATCTGAAATAAATAAGAAAATAAAATTTAATAAAATGGGTCCACCTAGCGCGTATATTCAAACATATGTGTATATCTGGGTGTGGCAAAAGTTGAGTGTTTAAAGTTTATAAAATATCATAAATAAAAGGTTCATGGGGATAATAGGACTGCCGTAAAGTATAGGTGCGTAGTTGAGAATTGACTAATAGGTTGAGGGGTCATTTGGCCATTTTCTCCTTTAATTAATAAATAAAACTTGTTAAATTTGGGTGGTCTGTCCTTCGATGTGACTCACCGATTTCTTCATTCTTGTCAAGTTTTCTTAAATAATAAAAAAAAAAATTTGTTTGTTAAATTTGGGTTGTCGGCCTTTTAATGTGGCTCATTAATTTTATATTCTATTTATTTTTCTTTTAAAAAAATTTATTTGTTATTCAAAAAAACTTATCTATCTGAAAGAATTACACAAACCTTATGAATGAGATATGTATGCAACCCTTATTGGGTTCGATATTGTTTATTTTATATTCTTGTTGAAATGTTATATTTTTGAAATCATTTTTGATTTGGTTGGTTTCAAAACAATTCAAAGTGTGCATATGAAAAATAATTTGTACAATAAAAAAGATTGACATCTTGTTAAACCATATATTCTTTTATTACCTCTCATTCATATTTTTGTTACGTGGAAAAATATTCTCATGCATACATTCAAGATTAAAACAAAATCAGATTCACTGTTTCAGGTGCATTGCGTG